TCGACTCCTAGTCCTGCCTAACTGGCTTCCCTACTGGCCAGCAGTGCTTTATTTATCAACTAATAAGACAAACATATACACAGAAGGACTTGCCCCATCAGATTTCTGTTCTCCAGTACCTTTCAGGGTTGTCCCAGAAAGGTGCTGTCCACTTCTGAGTGCTGCCTGCATGATGTGCAGAACCATGATTAAACCAGGCTCTAGTCTTCTCTTCCTCAGTCAACTGATCATAAGGATCATCCCATGAGGTTATAGATACATACTTGGCAGTAGATACCATTGTAACAGGATTAGAAGCCATCGGAATTTGGGTAACTTCTTTATGTAACTTGCTTGTAATTTCAAGACCTGCTCGGGCCAATCACATATATACCATGTCCATTTGACACTAAATTGCTATTGTGCATGTCCTACTTTATGGTTTGGTGAGTCTGATAACACCCAACTCATGATGGGCAGCTCAGATCACATGATAACTTGGTGGCCCATTGTTAAAGGTTCAGTTTCCACTAAGGCCCAATAGCAGGCCAAGAACTGTCTCTCAAAGGGAGAATAGTTGTCTGCAGATGATGGTTCAGCCTTGTTCCAAGATCCCAAAGGTCTCTTCTGCAATTCACCAATAGGGGGCTGCCAGATGCCAAATAGCTTTCCTATCTGCCATTGACAATTCAACTACCATCTGGTCTGCCAGATCATGTGGTCCAGTGGTAGAGCAGTGTTCACAGCAGCCTGGACCTATTGAAGAGACTCCCAAGCCCCCCCCCCCCCCCCCCCCCTTCCGCCCTGAGTCACTTGGAATATGGGCTGGCATAACACACCCAAGTGGGCAGTGTACTATCTCCAGAACCCAAATAGGCCACCAGATGTCATGCTTCTTTTCTAGAAGGAATGTCTCTGAGTGTCCCACGCCACTGGACGAATTTCATTGAGTTAGAGGGTCCTTGAGTTTTGGTAGATTTATTTCCCACCCTCTGACATGGGTCTATGTTACCAATGAGTTCAAAGTGGGCGCTGCCTCCTGCTCAGTTGGCCCCATCAGCGTAGTGTCATCAATATAGTACACCACATCAAGATCCCTTCTAAGTTACGACACAGGGCAGGAGAGTTAATATATCCCTGAAGCAAAACTGTAAGGGTATGCTGCTGGCCTTGCCAACTCTGGTGGTCCTTACGGGCAGGTACCAAGAAAAAAGGCATGTGCTACATCAGTAGCCGCCTACCATGCGCCAGGACATGTGTTAATCTGCTCAAGGAAGGACACCGCGTCTGGTACAGCTGCTGCAACTGGAGTCACTACTTGATTGAGTTTTTGATAGCCAACTGTCATTCTCCACAATCCATCTGTCTTCTGCACTGGCCAGATAAAAAGAGTTACGGGAGCTGTGGTGGGAACCGTCACATCACCCCTGCGTCTTTTGAGCCCTTGATGGTGGCACTAATTTCTGCAGCTCTTCCAGGGATGTAACACTGTTTTTGATTCTCTATTTTCCTCAGAGTCAACTCTAAAGGCTTCCATTTGCCTTTACAACCATAACAGCCCTCACTCCACAGGTCAGGGAACCAATCTGAGAATTCTGCCAACTTCTAAGCAAATCTATCCCAGTTATACATTCTGAGACTGGAGAAATAATCACAGGATGAGTTTAGGGACCAACTGTACTTAACTGTGAGTCAGACATCAGCCAAATCCCTATTTTAACTGGAGGGCCACAATGCTTCTTGGGATGTCCCAGAACAAGCATAAATTCAGAACCAGTATCCAAAGACCCAGGAAAATATGATTGTTTCCTTCCCCTAGTACACAGTAACCCTTATAAAAGCCTTGGGTCCCACTGGGGAAGATCTGGAGAAAGGCTAACTGTAAAATTTTTAGGTGTCCTGTCAGGGTTCTTCCTCAGGGGAGCCTGGCCATCCCTTCATTCAAGGGGTTCTAGGTCTGCAGACTGGCTCAAGTCTGGAAATGAATTCACTGGCCAAGATTGCCTTTTGCAGCCTTTCTTTCATTTGTTTGAGAATTTTTCTGCTTATACAGATCAAACAGAAATACAGTAGGTTTCTTAATCAATTAGATGCCTGGAAACACCATGATTGATTAGCCAGTCCAACGATCTGTGTGAGTCATACAGCTATAAAATCCATCTTGCCTGTGCTGACCATTCAGGCCACATGAACACTGTTTGTCTGTAGTGCCCATTATGATAACTACGGTCACCTTGCCGTTGGTGCTTCAATGATACTACCTGGTCCCTGCTACCGCAGGGCTCAATTAAACCCATTGCACTTAATTTGTCCAGTTGAGCAGCAGTGTCTCTAACCCTAAGGTCTGGCACAAGAAAACCCTTTGAATATGCTGGTGCCCCTCTCACCATTTTGCCTCTTACAGGATTCATGAAGAAGGGGTTGTCTTCTGGGCCTTCCCATCGTGGAAGATTAGGTTTTACACAGCATACCCACTCTAGCATTGCAATTTGCCTGAGCTTTAAAATCCCTTCATCAACATTAAGACAAGATGTCAGGCATCTCCAGTTCCTTTTAAGTTGGCTGTCTTTTGATAAATGCTTCAGCCAACCATTCAGACAGACTTTTACACCTTTTTAACTGTGCAAGCTTCCATTTTAAACCCAGACTCTTCACTCAGAGGGTCCATATCCATAAACTCAGCCTGATGTGGCTTTATGCTCCTCACCCCGTTATCCCACACCCTTATATTCCTCAGACTTCAGCTAGGATGAGTTAGCAACTCGTTAAGCTCTTTAGGAGTGTAGCACACTTCCTCAAGGACTACACATTCTACCTCCCCTCCAGTATCCTTCTTAACCTTAAGTCTGGTTATAGTTCTAAAAGCAACTATTGGTGGGCCTTGAGGGACATCAGTATTGTCTCACCTGGCATTTCCTTCAGAAAAAAGTCAGTGCTGGTGTAGCAGACACTGGAGGATTTGTTTCTTCAGTGAAAGGTGAAAAGGGCACTGTTTTAAGGGGAGGGGCATAGGGTACTACCTCCTCAGATGAGATACAGCCTTGAGAATCTGAGGGTTCAAAGTTCTCAGCTTCAATGGGGTCCTCCCTTACATCCTCATCCCAAGTTATAGACTCCATTCTCTACCAACTAATGTCCTTACTTTAACCACTGACACTCTGGGGCTGGGACTCGAATTTTTGCTGTAATTCAGGCAACCTTACGATGAGGTCTTCAGTTTGATTTTTCTGCAATTCGAGCTCTGTGGCTGCCAGAGAGAAGATTCTCTTCCAGAGCACATTTAGAAACCTTAGAATGTTTATTCCCATCCAGTCAATTTTATCACTGAGTTCATTGTGGTCCTGCACTATATTCTGAAGTTGGATATTTTTATCATAGATCTCATTCCTATCCTTTAACAATGTATCCAGAGACATTAAGAGTAACCAACCAGCACCCTCATTTCCCCCAAACTGTCAAAAGTTTCACTGAATCCATTGCCACTCACTAGTGATGAATCAAGATAATCAAAGGCATTGTCTCTTTAAGTTGAATGTAGCTTACACAGCCGGCTTTCAGTTACTTTCCTAGCTTCCAGGAGAGAGAGGGTGACTGGAGAGGCTTCAGTAGCTGAAGGTGCTGGTGGTTTCAGAATCCTATTCTAGATACTTAGAAGACTCATCCTTTCTCTAGAACCACTCTAGTACCAACATTTTTATTCAGGATTTCCCAGAGTCACAGAACTTACAGAATGAATCTCTCCCTCTCTATACATACATACAATGTACACATGCATACATACATTATATGTACTATGTGTGTATGTATATATATACATGTATATGGGAATTTATTGGATGACTTATAGCCTGCAGTCCAACAATGGCTAGATATGAATGGAAAATCCAAGAATCTATAGTAGCTGCTCAGCCCCATAAGCCTGGGTGTCTCAGCTGCTCTTACGTTTTTGCTAGAATCCCAAAGAAGTTGGCTGCATTACCCGTGAAGGAATAGATGGTCTGACAAGGCGAGGCAAGCAGGAGAAGAACGAACCATCTCTTCTTTCTTCCACTGTCCTTATTTAGGCTTCCAGCAGAAGCTGTGGCCCAGATTAGAAGTGTGCCTCCCTCTCTGGGTCTGGATTAAAGGTGTGTGTTATCCAGCCTCAGGATAAGGATCAAAAGCATGTTGTCTTCCTGCCTCCGGATCCGGATCACGAGTGTGCCCTCCATTTCTATATTGTAGTTCATTCCAGATATAGTCACGCTGACAAGCAAGAATATGCATAGTGATTTTAGCCATACTAAGAAGAAATCCTGAGGTTTCTCCTTCCATATAAATGGTTTTTGTAAATAGCTTTACAAAAAATAGTTTTGTTTCTAGAAAGAAAAGTATTTTCCAAAGTATTAATTGCTAACTAATATTAATGAGTAACTAAACATCTAGAAAAAATGCATACTTGAATACTTGATGAGCAAATTTATAGTTTAAGACTGTCCTTCTCTGGTAACTGTTATGTGACTAAGTCACATGTCTTATCTGAGAGAGAGAGTTATCTTCCCCAGGATCTTCACCTGACTTTTTCAGATGGGCTCTTTTACTTGGACTTAGGGTTTGCAGGGTAGTTGGCAGTAAGCCCTGCGATCTGCCTGTTGGGGCAACAAGGCCTGCCTGGGACAGAATCCAGGTTCCCCATGCTTTCCCAGGAAGCATTTGGCTGACCAAGCCATCTCCCAGGCCCTGGATTTCTTTTAAAATTGAGACATTATTCCTTAAATACTGTATCTGTATGTGGTGTGTGAAATGATCAGGCATTTGCTAACTTCTAATTTATTAAGTTAATATGGAATAAGTTAAATTTGCGTTGGTTTCTGTGAAGTTGCAGTCTCAAAGCTTTAGTGCTTAGTGTACAGGACCAGTGTTGGGTGCTCTGCCACCTGTCAGGACTTGTTAACACTGCTAAAACTAGGAAGTACAACCAGAGATATTTGTCACTACTGATTCCCTGTTAAATATACCATCTCAATCTTGTTTTCTTGTAGATCTCCGGCGTGTGCTATGACCGCAAAGTGTTCCAGGTTCACCAGGTGCTTCGCGTCCCTGGCCTGGTGGCCCAGTTCTTCTCCTGGGCCCTTGAGCCTATATTCTCATCTTCAGAACCTGCCAGCGAGGTCAGGGTTGGGATGGGAGCCACAGTGGACATCCAGAGGCAGCAGAGGATGGAACAGCTGGACCGGCAGCTGATGCTCTCTCAATTTGCCCAAGTGAGGCGGCAGAGGCAGCAGCAGGTACGGTGTGTGTGTGTGTGTGTGTGTGTGTGTGTGTGTGTGTGTGTCCGACCAGAGGTGTGACTGCGTGTGTGGCAGCCTCTGCTTTATTCCTGTGCTTTGTAGGGAGCTTTTGATGTATTCGCAGGAGAGTGAGAAGTTAGACCTCTGGGGATGGCTTTCATTAGTGTCAGAGGTTTGTGTTGTTTTGTTTTTAAGGTAACAAAATTAATTAGAGCTGAACAGTTGGTCAGAATGGATGTTCTTATTCTTAGCCTTATTTCTGAGAGAAACACCAACCTAGTTACAAGATAGGATATTTATCAGTGTTTATAATCTTGTCAAAGCCACAGCGTCTTCCTGTTCAAAGTGCTAGTCATGTGCCATGGACGACGAGCTTCATGGTTTTCCTTGATTAAAGTGAATACAAAGATAAGGAAACTCTAAGGGAACAACCAATGATTACATCATATGAATGCTGTGTTTTCGTAGATGTGCCATTAGTAACCAGTTACCTACAAATACCACACCAGCCAAAACTCTGACCCAACACTTGTCTTTCAAGGGGGCGACAAGGAACGGGGAGGGTGCTCTATACCTAGCTAAAACTTCTGGCACATTCTTCCTTGGACACTTCTGTGACCCAGCACAGGGAGAGTTCATCACTTCCTGCCTCCTTCTCCTCCATCTCCTGGGGTGGTGAGAGATGCAGGATTCTCTCCTACCTTCTTCCCAGGTGTTAAGAGGTGGAGCTTCAGGTCTCATTGGCCTAGAGAACTGAAGTCTTGTCTGATGTCTTTGTACTGCTGTTGGGAATGTGGGTTTCAGAGTTTCTATTTTGGATGAAAGTATCTGATAGAAGAGAGAGAAGCCAAAGTTGTTCCTTACAGACCTGTTTGACTTTGGAGCATATGGTTCAGATATATGACATGTTCAAGGACAGCTGTCACAAGCTTCCGTAGAAAGCTCAGAGATGGGACTGGAAACAACTCTGTGTACCTGCGAACAAAGAGCAAGGAGCTACACGAGAAGGGTTCCATCTATAGTCAACACCGGCTGAAGTGAAGCCTTGTGGTTGACAGGGGGCAGTTGAGCCACAAGACCCTTGGGGAAGAGTGAATGGACGGGACGTGGTGGAGTGGCGGTAGAGAGCCCAGCAGGTCTGTCTGCTCAGATTCTTCTTGGTCTTTGTAGCTTCCTCCCCTCCTGAGTACAGGACAGAACCCTCTTAAGGTAAGTTTTTATGGAGAAAGGGAGAAAATTGATAGGTTCTGTGGTGTACTTTGGGAGGGGGGGTTTCCAGTTTCTGTGACCTGCCTTGGGGAAAAGGAATCCTAGTTTCTGGGACTTACTCCAGCATGGGATGGTAGGAAAAGGCTACTGAGACCTTCAGTTCAAAGAATCCAACAACAAATCAAGATGCCAGGCTTGGGGTGTTCTGTTCTGAGCCCTAACCCTCCTCTCATAAGGAAACCATTACTTTTGGGTTATGCCCCACCTATGACCTCCCTTGACCTTAATTAACCGCTAAAGACCCAGTGTTTAAAGGGAGTCATGCTGAGGCAGTAGGTCTTCAACACAGAGTCATGGCTCCAGATAGTCAGTGCCCAGCGTTGGCACTAAATGGTCATTTTTTTTCTTGAGGGTGGTGTTCCAGGCTCATTGCTGTCTGCTGATGACAGATTAGATATTCTGTGAGGGCAGGAGTTAGATCCTCCTGGGCACATGAGGCCCATGTTTAACCTCTGTCCCTGTCACCATGGCTACTCTTGCTGTGCCAGTACTGAGGTGGGCGTCATTCTGCCTGCCTCCTGCTTGGTGCCTTTTTTGTGATGGATGTCTGTGGTAGGAATTAACCTGGAAAACAAACAAAAACAAAAACGAATCCAGCATACTTCCCAAGCGTTCCTTTAGCTGTGTTTACTTGACTGCCCTCAGGTTTCCTTGGCCCTTACTTTCCAGTTTCCTGGCTGACCTGCCCACTGAATTTGTTACCCGAAGGCCACTTCTCTTTATGCTAAGTGGGTGACTGAGGGCATTAGCCAGCTCATTCCACAGGAGGAGTTCCCTTCTGTCTTTCGGGGATCCACCCTGCACAGTGCCAGAGAAGAACTGCGAGGGCTTTCAAGAGCCTATCCATGAACCACATTTGGCTATGTCCTTTCTTACTTGTGGCAGGTGCGAGCTAGGGAGAGGTTTTTGGTGCAGCAGAGGTGGTTGGCATGCTGTCTGTCTGGTGCGTCTGCCTTTGTAGCTCCCTTGTGCCTTCTGGCCCTGCTCATGCTGACCCCATGTGCACCATTTCCATCTGGCAGTGAGTGTCTGCTGGGCCCCCAGAACCTGCAAACTGATGGGTCGCCACTGCACACACCGAAGTCTCTTTGGCACTTTCTGGTATCGTATAGCTTTTTGTCGGAAAGTAATTCTCTGAAGTTCATATATTCCCTGCCTGGGACTCCAGGAGCCAATATGTTCTCTATGGTTGGCTTTAAATGCCACAGTGTCTTTGTCCAGCGCAAACACTCTGACTACCACACAGTCTTGTCCAGTGAGTGAGACAACAAACCTCTTGTCCTCCCTGAGAATATGTTCCCACTGGCATTGGGAAAGGTACTGGCTCTGTCTGTGGCTCTGTGCACTGTGTGCCATGTCCCTCTCTCTACTCTCAGACGTTGGTCTTCCCTCCAGGGGCCTAAGGTTCAGAGCAGCAAAGCAGCCCTGAAGTCTCCGTGGGACTTTTCTGGACAGCAAAGAGCATCTACCCTTAAGTTCTCTAGGTTTAGTTTCCTAAACTTCTTCACCATAGCCTGCTGGACTTCTCCATGGGGCTGTTTGACCCCTTGTCTTTGTGCATGGCAGATCAGTACACAGAGAAATCCCCTGCCTGTTAAACCGCTGCGCGGAAGAGACTCCCCTGTTTCGGGGAGTGTGAGAGAGAGTGTGTGTCCATAGGCCCCTGCCTCCTTTAGTCACACCTCCTTCCCACAGTGCACCACAATCCTTGCTAAGCCATTGCCTCCCACAGCCACCCAGCTGTACTGCATAGAAAGAATTGTGTTTGTCATTGGTTTTTTGCCTGCCTCATTTCCATTCACTCTGCAGTGACTTTCCTGGCAAGTAACATGTCTCTGGGAAGAGACTCCCACTGGGGTCCTGAGTTTCTTTGCCTAAAACTTAGCCCAGCTCTCACTAGGGACTGGCTTACCTATCCCTGCCAGTGTGACAGGGTGCAGAGAGGATGTTATCTGCTTCCCCGAAACATGGATAATACTGGCACCAAGAGGAACTTAGCAACTATTTGGGGAACTAATGAGTAAATGTGTGTGCCGTAAATATTGATGGGTTACCTCGAATACTGATGCCCACTGAATACAGCCGAGCAGTCAGGGTTGAAAAAAGATGCACGGATATCCTGTGAGGACGAGCTGAAAACAAGTCATGACAGACAGACCAAGCCCACGTTTAGGCTCACCGAGAAAAGAAACTGGAGCGGCCAGGAAGAAAGCAGGAAGTTCAGGAACAGGGTAGCCGGGAGAGGAACTGTTCCAGGAAGGACAGGTGCTTCCCCTGGCAGGATGCTGGGAAGTACTCCATGAGCCGGGGCCTTGGCGCCAGATAGCCCATGCTCACATGTACACAGTGACATCATGCTCCTGCACACACTGCTCGGTGGCGGCGGTGCAGCTCTTGCAGATTCTGCAGTCTGGAGAATAGTGACCCATGTGATGTCTCTGTGGGACCTTCCTCGTCTGGCGTTGGGGACCATTGTGTGAACAGAGTCAGTACACAGGGAACCTTATAGTCATAAAGCCGAGTCGTGTGGTAACGAGCAGGTGTGCTGTGACCTCCCGTGGGTCTTTCTGGGCACTTCTTCAAGTAGTTATGACCCTTGCTGCATGGGCTAGTTGAGTTGAAAGCTGGCCCTCCTGCTGCTTCACGTGTCTGTGCTCTGTGTCTCACATCTGTAGATTGATTCAGGGCAGCATGGAGGGCAGCTGGTCAGGCACAGGAACTCTGTTCTCCTGGCCTCTTGCATTGTGCTTGTGTCTCTGTGCTGACACTGTTGCTGGCTCCAGGAGGTCACAGTCACTTTACTATTGCATATGGCTTGCTGCCGCCAGGGCCAGTGTTTAACTTTTCATAGGCTCATGTTGGTTTGTTTTGTTTTGTTTTATTTTGTTTTGTTTGTTTATTTGTTTTTTGAGACAGGGTCTCACTGTGTAACTCTGGCTATTCTGGAACTCACTACATAAAGCATGCTGACCACAAACTCATAGAAATCTGGCCACTCTCCAATCCTTGGGTTAAGGCTGTGTGCCACCATGCCAGCTTCAGGCTCATGTATTAGTCCCCACTGGGACATGAGCTTTTGAACTACGAGCTTCACTCATTTTGTCTCTTTGGACTCCAGTGTAGTGCACCGCCTGTGAGTGTGCAGAACTGCCTGACTTTCCTCCCGAAGTTTGCAGCTGCTGAAGATGAAGCAGTGGCAGGTGCCGGGTTCCTGGTAGACCAGAGCAGCCCCGAGGCGCAGCTGCCTTGCACAGTCTAGTGTGCTCCAAGAAACCTTGAAGAAGTCATCAGTCAGGGTGCAAGGGCCCCAGAGAAAAAGACTGGGGTCCCCAGACAGTTGTGGAGACAGCAGGGAGTTGCGTCTGCTGAAGAACTGACAATACTATAAGGAGGTAACAGTGACAGATAAGGTGTGGCCAACCAAACCTGTAATGCCAGCACTCCAGAGGACAGTCACAAGTGACAAGCTACCCTGGCTGTCAAGTGACAACCTGTTCAAACAGGGGAAGGAAGGGAGGGTAAAACAACACAGAGCTCGGTGTCCACTGTGCGTTGTTAGTGAGATGACAGCTATAGTGAGCTCAGTGTCCACTGTGCGTTGTTAGTGAGATGACAGCTATAGTGAGCTCAGTGTCCACTGTGCGTTGTTAGTGAGATGACAGCTATAGTGAGCTCAGTGTCCACTGTGCGTTGTTAGTGAGATGACAGCTATAGTGAGCTCAGTGTCC